CAAAAGGGGAGGGTCAGCGGAAAACATGGCCCTGCCGCCAGACAGAATACAGGAACACTATGTAACTTTCCAGCCGGCGTAAATTATCCCAGAGACATAAAGCTGACTGTCCTCGAGGTCGTTAAAATGCTCATGGGGACAAAACACTTACTGACCCATACAAATAGTTAGCAGTGGGCTAAGAAAAGCAGGTATCGGTTAGTGGAGTAGAGCAGGAAAAAAACCAGTAATCCAGAAACAGTTCTGTATATAGCAAATATCATACATAGCAGCTAAGGACTACCTAGGAGACAGGACAGCCAGAGAAACGTTTAAGCCACCCTCTAGTTCCACCTGCTGGAATTAGTTCAAAATCTCACTCTATATAGATCTTTACAGCTACTCGTATTACTGGCAAATTGCTAGGAGGGTAAACAGAGCTTGTATACAGAGCTCTGTCCTCTCACAACCGCATTTTAAAAGGAATTGGAAATCACGTTTTATTTAAAGAGAGAGGAAGATTGCTAAAATAAGATGTTAATCCCATGATAAACTGCAGTGGGCTTTGTAGGACTGGCTGGTAAAATGCTGAACTAGTGCTGCAGTGAAACTAACAGTTCCAATGAGCCCTGATTATTCACTCCCCGAACAGCTAGTCCTTCAGGTTATTACTTTTTAAACTAAACACTTCCCTAAAATTCTTAAAGTAAGCATTCACATTTGGTGGACTTTTTCTTTTCTGTTGTTGGGGGGGTTTTTTGAGTGTTCTAACAGTATATGTGCAACAAAAAAGGGGTAGTTTATTATAAACGAGGACAAGCCAGAATTTTCCCATGGGATCTAGTTTTCGCTTGCTATCCCTAGTCTTCTCATCTTCCTCTCGTCATATGCCTATGAGGGGGTCACCTGGTTAAAAGGCAGTGCCTGCTATATTGTAAAACAGGAAAAAAGGAGTGAAGGGAAAGGCACATATTGTTCCATCGCCATTCCTACCTCCTAGGAAGCATATAGCGTTTGGGTAACTTCTTTATACCTTTTTAATGTCACACAATTCTCAAGTTGCATCTATAGCATGCAGTAAACTATCATCATCAGTAACTTCAACCCATTTGAAAGGACATGACCTCCCTGCGGATGGCCCAGAATTTCCAGCAAAATACACCACAAGAATTTGGACCAAGTTGAGTACCCAATCCACAGTATGAAACACTATTTGATAGCACAGTTATTGGTATCATACAATAAAAGGGAGATCAAACTCATTATTATAAAATGCTTCATCCAAAGAATTTTCTGCAAGAAAGTCCTAGTGCAATGACTGGAAAAAATTACAAGTAATCCTGGCTGCTGGACACTCACTCAGTCTGACACGTTCATGCAACAAAAGCAAAAAGACAAGAAACAGGAGTCAGACTGATGTCCTACTAAGGAAAGATCACTTCAGGACAGCAGAGTAGGCATTAGTCAAAAGCAAACTCTGCATATAGGCCTTTCAGTAGTTTGTTATACTTCTGCTCAAAGTGTACAATTTTCTGTTAAGCTCCAGCTAGTACTACATATTAGCACAAGCATTATAGTGCTATAAATTACGTATTATGACTAGTGCATTACCTTTTCAAACAGTCATATATTTTCAACCTTTAAAGATATGTTAGCTTTCAACACACAACTAGACTGTCTGACGCTAAACAAAAAATATTCTGCCTCTGAACAATTTTTCTGAGTGCAAGAGAAGGATCTTTCAGTCTTGGGCATGGTAAAATGCATTATGGACCCATTCCTACATTCAGACATCATAAAAGAGCTATTTAAACCTCCTTACACTCCTCAGCAGACATTGTTTGGTGGTGGCTCTTTTTACCATGATTACTACAGGAAGCACTTTCAGGTCTGTTTCTCTTGTACACTTTCATGCCAGCATCCACCCATTCTGTTTCCACAAGAGGAAGAAAGGATGCAGAACTTCTGCAGACGACACCCAAGCAGCCTGGCTCACCTGCTGCTATGACCATTACTCACTTCTTGTTTGCTGTCTGAAAGTGAACAGTCATTCTGGAATAATTCTTATCCTTCTGCTTCTCTCTGGTGGCAGAGGTAACAGTGAGGTCTCCAAAGAGGTCAATCAGCCAAGTCAGTCGCGCAATTCCACTGAAAGCTGGGAATCCTGTTTTGTTTTCATCGAGGACACTACCTGGTTCAACAGCAACAGAAAGTCTTGAGAAATGCGAAAGAGAATAATGTTGTCTGCATAGCAAAGGCTGAAGAAACTGCAGTATTGCAGGCTTAGAGACCAGGGTGTAGAAAGGCCATGAGTGGATGGACTGAGTAGGAAAGTCAACAAACACGGTCAACCTTGAAATAGACCAGTTGGTGAGCCATGACAGAGAAGGCTGCACAAAGTACACATACAACTAACCCTCCAGGATGTGTTGAGGTCAGGAGGATGTATGTGGATTCAATGAGAGAATAAAGTAGGGAGAAAACAATGACTCAAAAATCTCTCCCAGCTCTTCTGGGGCCAAACACCAGTATGGAAGACTAAAGATTCCCACTAGAAATTGGGATGCTTCCTATGAACTCATCCACCTCTCTGAGACCAATATGAATGAGAAAGTGGTCACTACCACCAAAGTAAAAAAGGGATGAAGAAGTGCAAATTAGATTGGCAAAGCACCAGCCCGTAGAAGACAACTGTTAAGACAAAGGTGTTTTCCAGACAGTTCTGTAATTTCATAGAAATATCCAGAACTGATACCTGTGTCTCTAGTCAGTTTATAGAGACACTCTCATCTAAAAGGACTGAATGAAGCCTGGAAGGACTGGCATCCCTGTGGAGCAGGCAGACAGATCCAGAAGGACTTCGATTTCCTCACAGCTACTGACCTGTGAAATGCAATGTTCCCTTCACCAGGTCTTTCCCAGCCACCTCTTTTTTCAGTTGCTTGTACTCTTCAGTCAGAAGTTCAATGTGCTCCACATGGAGGACTTTACCTGCCATTACAAAAAAACCACGAAAAATCAGGACAGATTAAATAAGAGCTTTCTGTGGGAATCAAAGGCACATCTAAGCAGTAGAGGCTTCGCTAGCTACCAGTTGGAACTCACTTAGAAATGTTCTCACGCATGACTGACAAAATTATGTCAGGAAAAAAACAAACATGGGCCCTGCGCTGAGGCATCAATCTGGGTTAAGGATTTTCAGGAGATAACAAATATAGGGACTACAGGAACAGTAGCTGCTACGTTTAACAGAAACTGTAATGAAACCCATTACCTAACTAAGGCTGAAACATGAGTCTTCAAAGTAAAAGATGAACTAATTCTTGGCCTCTTTTCCCCTCACATTTCCTTGTTCTGCATTTTTCGTCCTAGGGTAGTAGGAAAGAAAAAGGAGGGAGAAAAAATGGTGTAATGCTCATACCAAGAGTGTAATGATATGTTAAGCAGTACCTCCCTCCATTGCAATTAATTGGGCTACTTTGGGACAGAGGCTATTGGAAACACGCTGAATGTGGCCCTCATTCAATATGTGTTTTTCTGGAAGGTTTCCAGGCGAGTCAATTTAGGCTGCTGACAGTAACTGCTGCTGCTTCAAGAGAAGAGGCATAAATTCTGCTCAATGGGAAGCCATTTGGCAAGCAACAAGGCAGTAAGTGGTGCTGGTACTGGGGAACAGCAAAGCAGAAACCCTATACCTCCGGTGTTTTAGGACCAAAGTCACAAAGGAAATTTTTAAGAAGGAGTGGTATAAATAGTGCAGCTTGTCCAAACGGTTTGCACTCTGCTCCTGCCCAGCACTATTCTGTTTCTTGCAGCCCCATACATCCCCACCGGCCTCAACTGAACTGCCAGCTTCTGACCCTTGGCACTGCAGAGATGGGACCACACACTTTCCAAAAATAAAGAGATATTTCTTAGAGATAAGCTGTCTTTCAGACAGAGATGCCTTCCTGGCCTACAACAGCATGAGTAGCGGTGTGTGACCAGCACATCACAAACGCTAGAAGCTAGGGGAGCTGTTTTCAGTTTTATTTTCAGGGAGAGAGAGGACAGGCAAGTGCACAAGTCCAACGCCTATACTCATTAAACGCTTTACTATCACTATGACAGAAGTTTCCTTCTCCAAATGCATTCTTACTGTCACAAGCAGACATCAGTTCTTTTGTGAGGGCAAACATACCTTATTCTTAGCAGCGACAATTGTGTGCTTATTTCCCCATTGGCACACGTCTTAAATCCTAGACTGACACATCTCTTGAGAAAGGCATACTCCCTTGTATGTCATGATTAATAGTGCACTGGAGCCCTGCCTTTGAGTTTGATGCCTTTCGTGCTACCCAATAGGTAATACTGTTTACACCCTTGAGAATAAACACGCTACCTTTCTGCTCAGCCATCTCCCAGAGCTCATGGGCCGCCTTCGCAGACAAAGCCATGGGGTACTCAACGAGGACATGCTTCCCTGCTTCTAAAAACATTCTGAAACGGATACAAGATCAGTCTTTAAAAAGTACATCATCATCATCATCATCTCTCTCCCACAGTCATCCCCATATGGAGAAATGCACAATGTGGAGTTACAGAAATAAATGGCAACTTTCCTAGCAAGGATGGTGCGGTGGCTGCATCACACATTTAAACACCAGTAGAGCTGGGTTTTAATTGTCCTTTTCCCGTAGAATTCCCTCACTCACCTACAACAAACGCTGCAGAGCTGAGCACTGCAATTTCTAACTTTCAGACACTTCAGTGGCTGGAGTGGGGCACTGGAGTGCCCTTCCTCTATATAATCTGTGAGGAAAGGCTTTGAATCTTGTTTTAAGCTGCCTGTCCATCAAACACAGGCCTAGAGGTACATAACTGGAATTACTTGCAAAATGAACGCATCTTAAATCCTACTTTCTCCCAGGGCTTATTGGGTGCTGTAGGGAGCTCGCTATTATTTACTTCAAGCTTCTAGCATGACAGTCTCTCCTCCAGTGCCTCCATCGTCTCCTGCAACAGGTTTACACAGCTCTTCTATGCTTCTAAATTGCAGGGGAAAGGTTGGGAAAAGGGGAAAAAAAACCATCTGGAAATACCTGATGGTTTCTTCATGACTTCTGTTCTCTGTGCTGATGAAGGCTGCATGGATCTCTTTGCTGCTTAGAGCATCTTCCAGGCTAATCTGCTTGGCCTCATTAATATTGCCAAAACTTCTCCTGTGTATAAATACAACCAGAGCACAACCATCACAGTCCATTCTTCCCAAGTGCATATTGTGCAGAAGCACTTAGACATTGTTCACATGGACCACTGTCTCACTGAATTCAACCAGGACAGAACAAAGGCAGCTTGTAATCTGAGAAGGGCACGAGCACTTACAGACAGAAACAGAGTGCACAACAGAAGAAAAGAGATGGGTCAGTGTGTAGGTGGTGTTATCAGTACAGAAACTGTCCTGCTATTGAAGCTTAAAGTGCTTGTTGGGTTTGTTGGTTTAGCGTTTTGTTTTGTTTTTTAATAAGCATCATTACAAAACCGTCATTTTAAGAGAGTGACTTGAAACAGGACAGTACTCCTATGGGAGAACTCCCCACCATGTTGGACAACACGGGCAAAAGCACTTGAGTTGGCAGGGCCACATGCAACTACAACAAGTACGGACAAGCAGGAGAGGGACAAAGCAGATGCTTGGCTGTGATGGCTCATACCTTGCAACACACACACCGTATCAGAGCTAAGGGGAAGGCTCTCTTGGCCACCACTCCAAGCACATCTCCACCTGAAAATGAAACACACACACTCCCCCTCAAAGCCCTCTGTATTAGCGAAGACTGGAGCAGACACCTTGACAGTGTTAGGATAGGTGACAGATGGCGTGAGGGTAGGCCACAAGCAGGACTTGAAAGAAAAGACAGATGATGTTTGTAAGTGATTGGAATGCAAAGAGCAAGGCAACATATCCAAGCAGCTGTCTGTGAACTGTACATTTTGACAGCACTGTTTCTCAGCAGAAGTAGTGGAAATCCTGTCTTCAGCGTTGTTCAAAGCTAGCCATTGCACTAGCAAAGGCATCAGGGAACCAAGAGTGTATTTGGCAGGGAGATAAACTGAATGACCTAATGGGTCCTTTCAGTCTCATACAACCCTGACTGAATGATTTAAATATAGCTGGAAAAATACATTCACAGTCTGAGATCCATACGTGTGCTGCCTAACTATTTAAAACCTTTTTTCTCTGCTGTTACAGGGGGAGGTATACGTGCAACACAGTCCTGCTAAATTTCCATGGCTCCGAGCTAGTGAGAGAAACCATAATGTTGCTCTCTAAGAGGCAGCCTTACTGTATATACCAAATTATGAGATTTTCTTTAAAGACATCTCCAGGTTTGGTATTTGTTTTTTTGTGGGTTTTTTTTGTTTTGGTTTGGTTTTTTTTGTTTTTGTTTTTTTAATAGAATTTTAGCATGAAGTTCCGGTGTTAGGAGTTTTATAACATATGTTTCTGTAAAAAAAAAAAAAAAATTAAAAATCTTTGTAAAACATCTTTTATTTTTTAAACATTTCTATAGATTTCAAGCAGACATTACCTCATTAGTGTAATTATTGTCTGTACCATCCTAAACCTACAGAAAATTTCAGTCAGACAGAATTCTTTTCTTTTTATCACACAGATCCTGCAGCGAGAACATCTCTCAGCTTTTATTTTAGTCATTTCTGCAAGGTATCTCACTAAGATAACCTATTTGTTCCCTCTTGGAAAACTTTCCATGCTCATTTCCTAGCTGCCACTCAGAATAACAGGTATATTTGCATAAACTTCCCCTTTTCAGACAGCCTTAATTATAAGAGAAATATAAAACCTTGGATATTCATTCCCTGCCTCCTCAAATAATAGTCTTCCACATGGAGAGGCATGTGCACCAGAAGAAAGAAACATTACAATATCCATATTAAAGATGCTAAGATGAAATTTCTAACCTGGATACAAATCCGAAGAGTTTCAGGTGCTCAGAAGGGCTGGAAGGCATCGGATTCATCAAGTCTCGGATCCGTGCTAAGCCAGCAATTCCAACTCCAACCACCACGGTCCCAAACATTTTGTTAATCTGACCAAAGGAAAAAAAAAGAAAAGCAACATTTTTTTCTTTTAGTACGGAGAGGAGCAGCTGGGAGGGGAGGGGAGAGGACAGATTACTCTTGAATCCTGCTTTCATAGAGCCAAACCTTAGTCAGATGTCAGCAACCAGCTAACAGAGATGTGATGCTATAGGCTACTAAGCTCGTTTGCATCCCATCAAAATGTGGTCAAGTCGTTCAGCCTGTTATAGGACTGCTCTTGAGACTTGCATTTAACAGCTATTTTATCACAGCTCCGGCACAGCTTTCTTGCTTTCCGTGAATAGAAGGCAGACTTCAAAAGTGAGACATTCTTCTATTTATATCACCGCTTCCACGCTGGAAAGGAGCCAGAAGGTTCTTGCAAACCCAGCAGAGCTTTATATAAACCCTGCCGACTTCCTGAGCGCCTGCAGCGCAGCCTGCTCCGGGCTGCCACGCAGACCCCCGCAGCGCCCGGCAGCATAGCCAGAATACTTTGGGACAGGAAGCAAAGCGCATCTTTTCTTCCCCCGTGTAACCGCTGGCACGTCCTACAATGTCAAGATGCAACTGACCATCTGATAATTCGGTCAAGATGCTTGCTTGACATTTACATGCACGAAGAAAGCTCTGCCATCTCTTTAATGACAAGGAGGCATGTCCTCAAGATTTACATTGCCCAAAAGCACACAACTGCATCATACGGAGGACAAGCCAGGTATCGCACCCGCTGGCTGGCCTGCTGGGCCACGGGTGATAAATTCTTCTGTCGGTTTTAAGATCTGCCATGAATTTGCGGAAGCACTGGGCAACCGGTGTAACCTTTCAAATTTGCACTGTTCCACCACCCTGAGGACTAGCAACACTTTGGGAAATAATTTTAATATTTACAGGAAAAACAGCCTAAAACCAAGTCAGGTCCCCTGCATTTTTTGTTCCTTCCATCCTACAACGGCATCCCTTCAAACTCTGTTTCTTCTGTTTCAGTGTTCTCCTTCCTGCCACTGCCAATCCCTTCACCCAAGTGAATTCTTTCAATTGCTTCCCTACCTGGTTGTTGCCCTTCAAATCCTTCCAAGACTTGCATAGATAAATGGACAACCCCACTTCACTCCTCCTTGTGCCTCTCGTCTGATGGGACCACAGTGCAGCAGCACAGCCATAAGTAGCTGTTCTGTCCGTGATAGAGTTTGACAGCTGCTAAGAAATTACATCAAATGGCACAAAAAAAACCCCGACTCCCTCTCCAATAACACGCCATGCCTGGATTTTGTTTTTCTATAAGCTCCTGCCTAAGTATGCATTCCTGTTGGTGCTGAACTCTGCTCATTTTATACATGCCAAAAGGGTGCAAGAGTAAAACACACAGCAGCATGTTTAATATATGAGAAGGAATGAACAATATTGGAAAAGATCTCTAGGGGGATTACAGTGACATGTCATTACCAGATATTTGAGGTATAACTCAATGACATTGCTCACCAGGGAAGAGAGATGTAGAGGGCTGAAAGAGAGGGGGGGGAAAGGAGGGTAGCATAAGCACACAACCCATGTTCTGTTCCACTCACAAGCAGAGCTCTGGTCTGGGCTCTCAGTTGCACTCGCTGTTCTCTATGGCCAAAGAGTCAAGAGACTGAGACTCACAGAATGATCTCAGCTGGAAGGAGCCCCTGGAGGTCACCTGATCCAAACCCCACCCAGACATGCCAGGGCCACACTGAGTTCTGCCTGTCACCACTGATGAGAATCCAGCAGCCTCCCAGTGCCCCTGCTGCAGCGTTTGACCACCCTCACAGCAAGAACAATTTCTTAGCATCTATTCAGAGTTCTCTGCGTTGCCTTTTGCCATTGCACTGCACATCTCCCAAAAGAGCATGGCTCCAGCTCCTCTACATCCTCCCATCAGAAAGCTTTAGGCAGCAACAATACCCTCCTTTACCCTTCTTTTCTGGAGGCTGGACAAACCCAGTTCACTAAGCCTCTCCTCATTCATCATCTGATCCAGCCCCCTCACCGTGTTGGTGGCTCTCCACTAGACTCACTCCTGTATTTAACTTATTTCTTGTACCAGGGCACACAAAACTGGACACAGCACTGCAAGTGTAGCCAGCTCCTGTTGGCTACACCCTTGCTAATGCAGTCCAGGACATGGTTGGCCTTCTTCGCCAGAAGAGCACACTGCGGCCTGAGGGTCAACTTGTCAACCAGCATCTGCAGGGCACTTTCTGACTTTCCAGCCAGGCAGTCCCCAACATGTACTGGTGCACAGGGTTATTCCACCGTGGACAATGGACTACGTTTGTCTTTGCTGAACTTCATGATGTTCCCGTCTGCTGTTTCTCCAGTCTGCCTAGGCCTCTCTCGTTTGATTTGATCCACAGACTTGCTGAAGCTGTTCTCCATCCTATTGCCCAGGTAGCTAATAAAGACATTTAACAGTACTGAAGATGAGCACAATGCTTGCCCTTTTCCAGTCACCAGGAACCTCCCCTGATTGCCAAGTGGCTTTGCAGTGACAGCAAGCAAGTCCCTCAGCACCCCTGGATGTACCTTGTCTGGTGCCAGAGGCTGCTGTACATCCAATTAGCTCAAGAGCTACATCGCTGTCTTCCTCTGCTGTGGGTAATGCTACATCGCCACAGACTCTGTTAGCAGACTCAGAACCCCAGGAGGTCTGAGGAGGACAGACCTTACTAGTGACAGCCGTGGCAAAAAAAGGCATCAAGTACCTTTAATTTCCTTCACGGTGGCCCCACTGAGCAGCAGGCTTGTATTTTCTCAGCCTTCTTTTTGTTGCCAACGTACCCAGAGAAACCTTTCCCATAGCTCATTTCAGCTCCAGCTAAGCTTTGCCTTTCCCAGCTCTGTCCCTGCAAGCTTGCCTGCTGTCTCTGTGTCCCTTCTGGATAGTCCCTCTCAGCTTGTGCGCTTTCTTTTTGTGTTTCAGCTCAATCAGGAGGTCCCTGCTGATCCACAGCGGCTTTCTGCCATGCTTGGTTCTGCTTGGAGCACACTGGAGCGCGGCTCCTGTGGTCTGGGGAGGTCGCCCCTGTAGGTCAACCTCAGCCCCTCTGACCCTCAAGGCAATCTCCCATAGGAACTTGCCAAGCAGAGCCATCAAAAAGACAAAAGTACTGCTCTTCTGAAGGGTATGGTTGTAATTCTTTAAAATTTAGATTCATAAAGGACTCCAGTGTGAATCGGGACCAGGTCAGCAGAGGTTTAGAAGCAGTCCAGCTGGAGAGCAGCTGATCAGGGGCTTACTTCAAGTTCAGAAATTTTCAAGGTTACTGGAGTGTTAGGCTGTTAATATTTGCCTACTGCCTTTAGCGGGACTGGGAGTAGGAGTCACACAGCAGACAAATTCCCCTGAAGCTCCTACAGTCCTGTTGTTCCCCAGATCTGCTTTTTTTCTGGTGAGCTGCTGACCTCTGCTTCAACAAAGCAGAGAAGGTGGGGGAGCTGACCACCTTCTTCCACCACCATAAGCAAACAACAGCTCTCAGCAGATGCTCAAGTTGCGGCACATCAACGTTTTTTTGCCTCTCCTTTGAAAAACTTTCCTAGTTTAATCTGATGAACAACTTCCGACCTTCCCAAAACTCACATTTAAGAGAAGCAAGATGATTTCAACCTAGGAACAAAACCTGTTACTATGCAACCTGTTGCCGTAGCAACCAGCCATTCAGTCCAGGTCAAGGGTTTGCAGGCTAATACAGTATCCACAAGGAATGACACCGCAACTAAACATGCATTACAGAACCTTTGCTTATGTGCGTAGTTTAGAGAAAAATCGCTACGTCTGCATCCCTGCTGCTGCTTTTTATTACCCTCATTCTTCTCACACAACAAATCCTGGAGCTGCTCAGGGAGAAAAGTAAATAGATGTTTTTTGGAATGGTCATGAACCAGGCAAGAGCAGAATACAGAACACTCACCTGAAAGTCCAGATGAATATATGAAAATTCACTGCTTGGTTCAATCCTTTACACTAGGATAGCAGCTACAGCTATCTTTCAAGTACAAAAATGATAAAAGAGAAAGCCCAAACCATAAACTGCTGTGCCTGCCTTCCACACCTTTTACTTCAGATAGGTGACCTCGGTTAAAGCTTTGACAAAAAATTTCAGAGGCCTTTTCAAGGCTGCTGAACTTTGGCTCCTGTTGTATATAAAAAATTGTACAGTAAGTGATATAACAGTGCATCACCCAGCATCCAAAAGCATTCTTCTCCACCCTTTCCTAACTGGCTGAATGAAAGCAAAGGGGCTGTTGAGAACATTAGAAAGTGATGTCCTTCATGGTCACAAACTTGTGATTGAAGCGTGCTTCCCACCACCCAGCAGCAGCTGCCCTGGTCTGGTCACAGGCAGCCCTGCCAGCCCCACCAAAAGTCCCTTCTGAACCGGGGCAGGAGGCATGGTGGCTGCCCTCTGGTCTTCCCCACTGACAGCCAGAACAACTGACTCCTCTTACTGAGAGAGATGTGCCCTGCGTGACACTGAGCAGCAGACCTGAGAAAGGCATCTAGCTGACAAAGATCATTTATCCTACACCAGTATTTCATCATCCTGTCACCCTTCTGCTCTCTGTTGAGTTTTCTGTGCTTGTGCTGCTTATTTCCTCCATTGAATAGATATAGACTACTCTGTAGCAAAAAAAAGGTGCTCTATACTGATGTGGGAAATTGAGAATTAGTTCATCTTGCTATAGCTTTAGTTTAATTTTGTTATATAATTTGCATCTATGTTAAGGTAAGAGTTAAACACTTTTCTTCAGTTTAGTTCTGCTCTTTGTAATCTTGCTAACAAGGACTGTTGTGGCTCAAAAGTAGATAACAAGAACTGCCTGCGAGTCAAACGAAGAGAAACAAGGACCGATAACCAGAACTTTGTTGTCTGTAAGAAGCAAGCCTCTAGCTGAAACTGTTTCTATGGTTTGGGACTCAGCCAACACAGACAACTCAGGAATTTTTGAGCCAAAGGTGAAAGCACACAGCGAGGAAGAC